GGTTTCACAACATCATTCCCAGGAGCGGTGTCCGGCCCCCAAACCTGCCCTTTGCCTCTGTCCTGCTGGGGCTGGTGGAGGGTGGTTGGTTGGTCCCTGAAGGTGAAGACCCTCAGACAGTGTGTGATCCTTTAACATTTGTACCTGTAGAGGAGAGACACTTGGTGTGGAATGTTTGGGAAAAGGGTGTTGTGTTCGTAGGGCTACCGGAAACCTTTGGGGATATGAGGATTGGAGGACACAAGAGCTTTGGAAAAGGCACAAACCTTATTGTTCCAAGCTCTGCCAGGCTGCTGCAGCCACCTGCAAATACTTCAGAGGGGTGGAAGGATTCTGGTGGACTCTGTGCTGTCCCTATTTTAAGGCTGAACAGGACCCTGAGGGACCAACTGGGCTCCCTCACAGGGGCGATGCTGAGGGTGCAGGGGAGAAAGGGAAGAGCCAAGGCCATGCATTGCATTTATCCTTTGACTTCTGAAGGGTTGAGGGGGGAAAGGAGAGCTTGCTTTGAGATGGCACAGCAGAAGCAAGAGGAAAGGGAAGGCAGGAGAGCTGCCAGGGCGGTGGGAGCAGGAGCAGGGAGCCAGGAGTGCTGCGACTGCAGATGAGGAGGCAGCGCGGGCGACGTGCATGAGGAATGACGAAGCGGCAGTTTCAAAGCAGGACGAACTGTAGGGTTCAGAGATGTTCCAGACTCCTGCAGGGCCCAAGACAAATGTTGAAAGCCAGAATTCCCAGAGGGTCTTTCTGTTTTCTTTTTAAAAAATAATAATAATAAAAAAAAAGAAGATCTACCTGTCAAAGCTTATCATGTGAAGAGCTGAATTAAGGAAGGCAAGACTTAATGGGCTTTCTTCCCTAAAAATAGATCTTCTCATGAAAGAGATGAAGGGCATTGCCCAGGGAGGTCAGCCAAAATTGTCTGAAATTATGCTATCACCTAGATCTGATGTCCAAAATTAGCCTCCTCTCTTGCTATGTGGGTTCAGTGCTCCCTGAAGATTAAACGCGTCACAACACTCATTTAATTTAAAAGAGAGGCTAAAACATATGGCAGGCCATGGTTTAGATGTTAGAAAAATTCAGCCTGGGACTCTTCTTTGTGATTAGTAACATGCTAATGAAGGCAAGGGGGAAAGGAGTGTGTGCAGAGCTGTGTGGAGAGGCCGGGCAAGGCTGCGGGCAGGAATCAGGAATGTTGCTGGGAAGAATGGAAAGGACCTGAACCAGAGCTGCTCTCACTGTCCAGAACTAGTCTGATCTTTTTTTAAGAAGAGGAAGGAAGATGATTTGCCTTAAATAATTCTCCAGCCTCCTCTGTGTGGGTGTTTTCTGGGCTCTGTGATTAAGAGAGAGCATCTGAAAGCAATGGGACGGGAACCTCATTTTAAAGACAGAGCGTTCCTTTCTTTTTTTCCTTTTTAATTAATCTGAGGTTGCTACCGGAATGGAGTAGTTGGATGAAGGTGTTTGAGGAACATGAGGTTAATGGAAGGTGATGGAGGAAGGGAATACAATTGCCAGTATGAGCCAGGCAGAGTGTGAACCAGCAGGTGCTCCAGCCTGGCCGGCACAGAGCTGACTCACGGGTTAAAAGGGAATAAACTCCTGAGGTGGAGGGGAGAGAACAACCTTGGGGAGACTTGGGAAAGTCTGGGGAGAACTGGACATGCTCCTGATCCCATCACCTGGGAAAAGGAGGGAGTTTTTGTGGGACTTCACCAAGGCAAAGCACCCTCCCAGTACCGGTGCCGTTCAAAGTAACATCCGCTCTGTATCTTTATGTCCATGCAGGGAGGGGAAGTTTTATTTGTTATTTATTTAATTTTGTTCTAAGCTCACGATTTTGGGGGCAGCCCTGTTGAGTTTTTGGACGCTGGCTCAGAAGTTTTGCACCCCTTGAGCCAGGTGATGCCGAACATTCAGTGTAGAGAGAGAAAAACAAAATATTTGCTGGATCTGCTGTGACCAACCTGCAAGGGCCAGGCTGGAGGAGAGGCCCATGAGTAAAGACTGGGATGCTTTGTGCATCCAACGCAGCCTGGATTTTGCTGAGGGTCCTTGTCCCCACTCAGGGAGGAGAACCAGCCCTGCAGCTGTCCCTTGTCCCCTCCCCAGCACAGCCCATCCCCACTCCCCATTGCTTCCAGCCTTTATTCGGGACCAAGCAAGCCCATTGTGGCTCATCACCACATACCTCCAGCAAACTCCAGCTGGGAAACACTTGGGAAAGTGTTTCTCTTTCCCCCCCAAAAAAATCCCGAGGGCAATGCTATGCCCCTGATTCCCAGCCTCCAGGCTGCAAGGCCCAAGTGCTCCCGAGGACCGTTAAAGGTCCATCAACGCGTTTTAATTGTGCAGTAACCAGGGCTGGTGTTTTTGTTGGACCGTGACCCAGCCTGCAGAGCCAACACACAGCTTTGAAGCTCCCCTGGCCACGCCGGCAATTATCCACCAGCTACGGCCGAGGAGAGCAGGGCTCCCTCCCTCCGTGGGTGCTGTGGGGCTTAATGAGTGTTTCCTGTCTGCTTTGAAGGCGAAAAATGCGCTAAGTGTTAAGTATTAGTGTGATTTAAGTGTGTGGAGTGGTTGAGGATCACTCAGGCCGCCCTTCCTGCAGCGCTGGAGCCCTGCTCGGGTTTGCTTCTGCAGAGCAGGGCTCTTGCTGTTGATGTTCCTCCTCTGGAAGGACCCAAGTGTGGCTGGATACTCTGGGTCAACCCTCTGGAAAAGACCCCAGATCAGGACATTTTCGGGTCCTTCCTCTAGTAAAGGACCCAAACTGGGCCGTTCTGGTTCTTTCCTCTGGAAGGATCTCAAGGCAGCACATTTTGGGTCCCTTCTCTGGAACAGGACCTACACTGGGATATCTTGGGTCCATCCTCCAGAAAAGGACCCAAACCAGGACATTTTAGGTCCTTTCCCTGGAAAAGGACCCAAACAGGGATATTTTGGGTCCCTTCTCTGGAAAACAACCCAAATGGGGATATTTTACATCCTTTCTCTGGAAAAGGATCCAAACAGGGATATTTTGGGTCCCTTCTCTGGAAAAGGATCCAAACCAGGATATTTTGGGTCCCTCCTTTGGAGAAGGACCCAAACAGGGACATTTTTGGTCCATCCTCTGGAAGGACCTAACACAGGACATTCCAACACCACAAGCAGCTCTGTGGGCACTTTTGTCAGCATGAGTTTTACATAGTTTTTGTTAAACCTGATAAGCTAAACTTAAAAAAAAAACACCCACTTGGGTCAAAATAAGGTTCTTGTTCTCTCTCAATCTTCTGTACTGTTAAAAAAAAAAAAGGTTTGGTTGGATGTTACTTTTAAGCTGTAAGAGCAGAACTTTCCCACGCTGCCTCTCCATTTAGCAGAGAACATGCCAGACCTGTAATCACGATCTTTATCCCGAGACAAGCTAAAAAACAAAATGTTTCTGAACCACTGAAGGTAGGTGAACATTTTCAGTGTGTCACATATTAAGGTGGTGTCTAACGAGCTCCATGTCCCACTTATAATTGAAACAGAAGAGAGTATTCACTTTTCATTCATTTTAAAAAGACTATTCAAATACCCTTTCATCTCCACTAAACAGCCTGCCATGTATTTGAAGCCATTTTATATTTTGTTTCTACAGACATCCAAAAAAACAGAGGTGAGTATTTTGGAACATTGATAGAAAGATGCAAAGGCTTGTGAGGCACTGAATGGCTTCAAGCTGCCTCAAACACATTCATCTTCCCAAGAAGAATTAGGCACAGTGTGATTCATTTTAATAGCAGAAGAAAAATAATACTACGGTGTAGTGCTAAGTTCCCAACCTTTGATGGTAGACTAAAAAAAGAGAGAGAGAAGGGAAAAAAATATCTTTCTTCCCTTATGTTGTTGAAGTCTCCCTACACCCATCCGTTATGTCCAGCTTATCAATTAAGATGAACCCCATGAACTTCAGATGGTTTTTTTAAAACAAGGCACCATCCATTTAAATGTGTAAAACTGCCTGCAGCTCCCTTGAACTGCAGGATTCAGTCCCGAGCTCTGTGTACTCGGTGTGAAGTTGAGCCCTTTGATACAAGTTTTACTGATGTTTTAAATGAAGTCTTCTCAAACACACAAAATAACCCAGATAATTTAAAACCTCATAGAAAAAAAATAGGGTGGGGAGAGGAAAAAAAAAAAAAAAAAAGGAAAAAAAAAAAAAAAACCCTAGTGCCATTGGTGTAGCAGAAGCAAAGGGCTGGCTCTGGTTGCCAACAGGACAGACCAAAAGCAGCTCCACAATTGCTTTCCCAGCGTTACTCGCTTGAGCTGGGGAAGGTCTGGGCGACAGCTGGGAGACAAATCCATCCCTGGTATGGGCAGCTTCCCTCAGGAACAAATTAAGCTCGTTCAGCTATAAAATAGGTTTTGTACCATAAATACAGGCGAGGGGGAAGGCACACAGGGAGGAGCTCCCTCGGTTCGTCCCGCTCAGCCGCTTCCAGCAAATCTCTCCCCAGTTCAATCTGGGCCAACCCCACCACGGGAGCCAAGGCTTTACAGAGCTGGGTTCTGCTCAGGATTTACAAGGCTGGGTTTACTCTTGTAGGAGATGCAGGTGGGCAGTCCTGGCTCAATCACACCTGGGAAAGGCTGCGACCATCCCCAAGACCAAAGCCCTCTGATGTGCCATGAGAAGAGCTCCAGCCTGGGGACAATCACATCCCTTTGGAAGTCACCCCTTGGCTCCATCAGGTTTGCTTGGCAGTGCAGTCTTGGCACTAAGGCCAGGCTAAATTTGTAGGTGAGCTACCTGAAGGAGCTGTAAATTACTTAATTCTCACACTGAAGAGCAGTTCCAGCCTTGCCTCCCCCAGCTCCAACAGCTTCCCAGCAGGAACAGCCCCTGCCAAGGCAGGGAGAGGCCAGGGCAGAGCTCAGCAGCTCTTTCCAGCTACCACCATACATGAGAAAAAAAGAAACATTTTAAGGCATTTAGGGTGAAAAAAAAGTCAAGACAATATTAATTTGAAAAATATAAAATTTTAATAAAGGCTACATCTCTTAATTACAATAATTATTGTACCAAGTAATTTTTTTTTTTAAATGAAACTCTTTATAATGCATAATTTACAGTATAAGTAGAACAAAATGCCATGGCAAAAGTCATGAGTACAGGACTTGTAATAAAAGGCATAAAATATATTTATACATAAACCCCTTAAACAAACAAGGGAAAGCTTGAACCCTGAATATAGGGCGACGCATGGCCTGTTACACCATGCAGGCACAGGTACTGTACTGATTAAATTTTAAAAACACTAGAGATAGTGTATTAATATTTTCACCATACATTTTCTACAATATATACAGACTTACACAAAGTAGCAATGGCAAACAGAATGCACAGATTAACTTAATCAACACAAAACCCAACTGTCGAAATGCAAGGTCTTTCTCGGGAAAGGGCCCCTCTCTCTCTCTCTCTCTGTCCCAAAACCCACCCCACGCACACACACGGAGCTTCATCCACATCTCCCACGGCCTCAGGTGGGTGTGAAGGCAAGGCAAAAACCAACCCAACCAAAAAAACCCGCCACACACAACGACTCAGAAGCTGAAAATACACCCCCGTTGTAGCTACACCACGTTGAAACACAAGCAGTGCTAACATCGAACGGCTAAAAAAATTAGCTCTGTGGGATACACACAGGGTTTTAAACCTTCTGGTGTGCTAAACACGGGAATGGGAATGGGATGGCTCCTTCTACAGCTCTCCCAGGCTCTGGGTTTTGCTCTACCTTGCCTCGACTGAGAGGCGCTGGACACCAGTGACAGCAGCAAAGCAAAATCCTGGCCCCGCCGAAATCCATGGACAAAATAACAAGTTCCTGTTTGTTGTATTGCCTCTAACAGAGTTAACACTTAAGACCTTTATTTCAAATTAGAGCAGCATAGATTAAAATGCACCGGTCTCTAGATGAATGGTAGGACAGCATTTTTATTTCGGCTTTTTATTATTATTATTATTAATTATTATTATTATTATTATTTCTTTAGAAAAGTTTTATCTTCACTCGGAGAAATACTGGGCATCACGTCACTCCTTCCCTCCTCCCCCTTCAAAAAAAAAAAAAGAATCATCACGAATGCGCTCCTTGCCAAACTCCTGAATTTTAGATAGTGGGAACAATGTTAAAAAAATAAAATAATCCTTCCTCCCCTCGCCCCCCCTTCCCAGCCCCTCTCTTCTCCATTGTTAAAGCAGCATATCCAAAAACTGGACTTAAGGGAAAACAGACTGTTCAATAAATATCAATAAGGATTACTGTTAAGGTAAGCTATACACAGTTTCTCTTAGTCCATAGATTTCAGATCCCCAGGAAATCATATATTATGTATGGAAGTCTCTCAAACACGGTCTGCATCTCCGATAGCCAACAGTGGTCATGTTTCTAATAAATAGTCCGGGGTTTTTATCATCTCAGTACCCAACTCATGAATAATAAATGCCATTTTTTTTTCCTCTAAGGCTAATTCAGCAAAGTCTTCATAGACTTCACCTTTTTTTCTTCATTGGTTCAAAACTTTTCCTTCAGAGTTTTTTTTTTTTTTTCTTTCCTTGTCATCACTACTGTTGTGTGTCCAAAGACTTTTTCTAGCTTAACTTTTCTTAAGAAACACACAGATGCCATCAATCAATCCTTTCTACTTTCCCCAGGATCCTTCCTTCGTACATGGGCAGGATGGTTTCATCTTCCCAAATCTCTTCAAACACCGCGCCGCAGTCGAACTCGTCGCTCGCTTTTTTGAAGTAGTATCTGTGGTAAAGGGAATTAAAACACAGTTAAAAAAAAAATCAAAAGGTAAAAAGCAAAGGACGCTTCGCCAGTTCTTTTAACCAGGACATTTCCAATTTCTCCCTCCTAGGATGTTCCTCTCCAGGAGAACCTCAGGGCTGCTCAGGTCCAGCGACACGAGGGTTGCAGGGATGTGATGGGACAGAGGGAGCAGGGCTGTGCTCCTCAGAGGTGACAACAGCTCCCACAGTGAGAAGATTATACACAGTGGCAGTGGATACCCCCAGCCATAAAGAAAATTAGAAAGCACCATGATTTCTGGTCAAATATCTTATTTGAAAAATAAATAAATAGAATTTCAAAGCCAAGCATTCTTAAGGCTCCCCTCTCTCCCCACCTTCCTTCTTTCATGTGTTTTCTTCTTTCAAAGCTCAAGCCCAACATTAAAATTAGCAACTGTTATTAAAAGGATGGATTAAAAGCAAACCATCCCCAGCTTCCTGCAACGCAGGAGCTGAAACTCTGTGGCATTCCTGTTGAAAAAAAAAAACATCCCGGGAGCCTCGCGTCGGGAACGACCAATTCACATATCCCTGCTAAGTGACAGAAACTCCTGTCTTTGCTTCCCCAGCAGTTGGGAGAGCCCTGGTCCAGCCCGCGGGACGTGACACGGGGAGGTCAAGTAGCAGTGTCCTGCATTCCTGCTCTTTTGCTCCGGGTCGTTAGATCATGAAGCCAACGCTCCCGGAGACAAAAAGCACCCCCACCCCTCCTGTGTCAAACAGTAAGGACCCCTCTATTATCCTGAATTAGACCGTTCAGCTTCTTGATTAAAGGTTCCTTTTATCCCGTTTGGAGCTTTCTTCCTTCTAAGGCTGCTTAATTGCATATGCACAAATGAAGGGCTTCCATTCAGAGGGGTAGCATTTAGGGAGTCTGTCCGTCTGCCGCCGAGCACCTCCTTGGATGTGCCTGCTCCCTTGGAAAAGGGCTTTGCCATCTGATTGCCAGGGATGGAAAAAACTTCATCAGATGGATTACAAAGAAAAAAAAAATCTATATAAAAAAAAAAAAATTAACCCCTCCCCTGTAGTTTCCAGACAACTCAGGGTTGGCAGATGTTTGTCAGGGAAAAGGGGTTTGTAATTATGATTTTTTTTAGGATGGGAAAGGAGATCAAATGAAGCTCACTTTTACTACTAAAGCTTAAAGAACCACAGCAGGGTCTTAGAATTTGATTTTTTCATTTAGTGACTGTTCTATTACACATGTTTAAATTAGTCACATCAGCCTGCAAATCTCTATTTTCAGAGCGCATTAAAATTATTTTGGTAGGGGGATAAAAGATCCCTCTTTTTAGTTAAAGAGATGAAACCATCTCCATTTAGTCCAGGTATGGTTAGGATTTATTTTTGTAGAGTCATTCCAAGCTGAATTAACACATGTTGCAACTTTAATGGGTCAGCAAGGAAAAAACCCATATTATTTAAGTCCTTCAGATCCTGCAGTCATGGAAGTCAATGGCCCAACTCCCAACTTCCATGCCACAGGTCAAGGCCACAATTCCCCAGGACAGCAGCCTTGAAATCAACCCAAAAAAACCCAAGCAAAGTTTGAATGACTTACAAAGAACTTGCCCTTCCCTCTCCCCTGTCCAGATAACAGCCACTCTTCCCAAGAACTTCCTCCCCAAGCCCAAGCCCTGGCTGTGTTTACAAAATTTTTATTTGAGAAAACACACTACGGCCTTTTACATAATTACAACCTTATTTCGCAGAGAAACGGGGGGGAAAAAGAAGGAGGAGGCAAAGTTAAAAAAAAAAAAAAAAAGAAAATCCACCCCCACAAACATCTTCAAACAAGTCACTCTGCTCTTATTTGCTCAGAAATGGGCTTTCCATTGAAATATATTTTATGTGGCAAGCTTTGCTCCTTTTTTTTTTTTTTTTAATTTATTTTTTTTTATTTTTTTTATTTTTTGGGGGGGGACATCTGGCACCAATCGAGGCGAGCAGGCCCGGCCTTACAGCTCAAGTTTTGAACCGCTGCCATCTTCGGATTTACCCGACACCGCCCACTTTTTTTTTTTTTTTTTTTTTCTGTGTATGTTTGTTTTTTGTTAACGCCATCAGTATTAAATCACTGCTTAATTCCTTCTTTTTTTTTTTTTATTTTATTTTTTTCGGGGAGGGGGAGGTGGATGGAAAGCCAGGGCGGCTCTTCCCGGCGGCTGCCCCACGGCAGGGCTCTGGCATCGCGGGAGCCCGAGGTACCCGCCTCGCAAACTGATCCAATCAATAAAGAATTTGGGAGAGAGCGGAGCGTTTTTCTGCGTGTCTTTGTGCATTAAATGAAAGGCAACGGCTTCAAAGACATGCTTATTAAATGTGCCTTAAAAAGAAATCAATGCCAGATGTGACCAAAGCGGCCTAGTTAGTGCCTCCCCGTAACACACACGCTACTCCGGGCACTGCGGACCTCTCCCCTGAAGGTCACCCGCAGTTTCACTCAAAGTCCAGCCAAAAGTCAAAGCTTAGATCAAAATGATTCCCTGGAGGTACACACATTTGTGTAATTAGTTTCACCTTGTGTCTGTGCAAGATAAAATACTGGGCACGTACCCAAGTTCCCTTTTTTATAAATTTCTGTATTGTCTTTACCCAGGTGTAAAGGGGTGAGATCTAAGCAAAACGTTGTTTCATCCTTGTCAGTCACTTAAAAACATTTTCTAAAGTAATTACAGTCTGACAAGGCAAAAATAATTGCAGCTAGAGGGGCTTTTGGGCCACAGAGGTTTTAGCAGCCTAGTCCTGCACTTGGGCATCACACAAAAAAATGTCACAGAAAACAAACAAACATTAAAAAAATTATTTTTTTTTTAGGAGGGGGGTGGGACTTCACAGCCACTGGAGCTGGCAGAGCAGTGGTGAGTTCAGGGAAATCGGTCTGCAAATGGGGCATGAGGAGGAGACAGAGTGGGAGGCTTTAGGGGCTGGAAAATGGCACAAGGGTGCCAAAAGCCCAGGCACCTCTCCTGCAGGGTGTCCAGGGTGGGTGGAATTGCAGGTTGGTGCCATCTGATGGCAGTTGGGTGGGCTGCAAAGATGGTTTTTGGGGAAGGATTGGCTGTATTTCAGCCTCACTGTGCAACAGCCATAGACAGACCCCAACCCAGCACTCCCACGGCCTGAGAGTGTCTGTGGGTCACCGACCTCTGAGCTGCACGGGTGGACTTCCCAAAGTTAGAGAGGCCAGTGATGGGGCAACAAGCTGGGAATTCCTCAAACCAGACCCAAATGACCATTTGGAGGTTAAATCAGAAGCTGCCAGTTACAGGACAAGACACCCAGTTCTCTGAAGCACCACCAATTTCAGTGGAAATTCAAAAAAATAGTTGGAATGTCCTTCCCTCTCCTGCTCACCCCACAGAAGTGGCCAACAGAGGATCCCAAGAGTAGATTCACTGGGAAATGGCAGCAAAAAGAGCTCCTGCCATGAAAACTGTAAGAGCAGAGGAAGCAGCAAACTGGTGTAACTGGGAGCTGTGCCCTGGAAACCAGACCAGCAGGGTTTGTTGGAATTTCTGAGGAGGATCTGGGTATTGCTGGTGGAGCTTTCTCTGCAGGGCAGAGGGGTTTTTTTCCCCCTAACAAAGAGAAAAGTGAGGGAGCTCCATCTCAGCTCCATGTCCCTCAGCTGGACCATCCCAGCCTGTCACTGACCCCACTACAGCCACACCACTGCAAAAAAATAATGAAAAATTAAACAGTTAAAGGAGACCAGCACCAAGATGAATGCTGACCCCAGTCTGGAAATTGAATCCCACTGCTCCAATGCCTTTGCCACAAGGCCATCCCAGATTTCCCTGATATTCCATCCAGTTTTTTGGAGAAGGGCTGGAGCACAGAAGGCAACTGGGAAGGAGGCTGGGGAGGTGGGGAGGAGGTGGCCCTGCAGCTGAGCTGTGGCTCAGGGCACCTTTTCCATCTCCAAGTTGCTCCTGCTTTGAGTGGGAAGAGAGTAAGATGATCTACAGCCCCTGAAAATTGAGGCCAACACGTCACTGCAGGTAGCCCTGCAAGAGCTCTGCTAATTCTTCTGACCTGGTAAAACACACTGAAGAAAAAACAATTCACAGATTCTTACCTGTAATTTCCCTTTTTGCTCAGCTGTTCTTTAAAGTGCCCAAGTGTCAGGCTCTGGGCCTTTAACATCCTCCTGTAGGGAATTTCTTCTCCGCAAAAAAAATAGGTGACAACCAACTCGCTGGACTGAGAGGTGTGAACAACTGGCAGTTTCTTTGGCTCTTTGTGACTGAAAAACAGAAAACACACACAAACCCCTCTATTTTTCCATTTGAGAACAGGCTGTTTCACCACACTCAAACCAGCAGTGCTCCTGTCACACAGAACACTGTCAGAAATACCCCTGGGTGTGACCCAAAAATCAGATATTCCTGTACTGGCTGGGAATTTGCTGGGATGTGTTTGCACAGCCCTTTGCTGGGCTCCTACAGCAGCTCCTGGTGGGAATCGCAGAATGGTTTGAGTTGGGATGGATCTATAAGCTCATCTCATTCCAACCCCTGCCATGGGCAGGGACACCTTCCACTAGCCCAGATTCCTCCAAGCCCCGTCCAACCTGGCCTTGGACACTTCCAGGGATGGGGCAGCCACAGCTTCTCTATGACAGGGCTTCCCCATCCTCACAGGGAAGAGTTTCTCTGTAATATCTAACCTGGATCCACCCTCCTTCAGCTTGAAGCCATTCCCCTTTGGAATCATGGCATCACCATCTTACGGATGGGTGAACCCAGGGATGGAGGTTGGTTGGATGCCTCCTGGAAGCATCCAGGAGCAGGAGTACAGGCCAGGTGAGCAGGTGCAGGACTCACCACAGGCTCACTGTACCTGGAGAGCCCCAGGACTGCACACCTTGGGTTTTAAAAGGTTTTAAAAGGCTCGTTTCATCTGCCTTCAAACAAAGCATCTGCCAAATTTTCTCCTCGTGCACAAACCCACCTGCAACCACCAGCTCACAAAGCAAACCCACCGCCAGATGCTTCACCTGAAGCACCCAGGTAATCTTATTTTTCCCAGTGAGGATAAAATTAACTGGATTTTGCCATTTGCACCCAAGAAACCCTTCTTAAAGAATAATTAAAACAACATTACCCAGCAAAATGGCAACGCTCTAGTGAATACCATGCAGCCAAATCTACAACTGCTTCTGAGGCAATGTACACTTGGCATGTCAAAAGGTCACAAAGTGTTAGTCCGCAGTAATTTAGTCTTCCTAATTTGTTCTAAGTCTTTGTAGAGTGGCTTCAGAAAAAAAGCTGCTAGCAAAGACAGCTGGTGGACTTAAGGTCAACCAATTAAAAATGAAAGGCTCTAGTCAGGTGGCTCAGTCTGGACTTCAAACATTACTCATTGCTTAAGATGAAGAGGGTAAGAAAGAAAACTTTAATTATTTAGGCCATTTTAGACCTCTCTGTAGCAGATTTCTTGTTAAAAGAACCATCCTGTAATTAGACTAATCCAATCTTTGTCCACTTTACAGGAATGCAAGTTAAAAAGAGCCAGAGACAAGATTTGAAAATGTTTTGTTCTTTCTTTAAGAAGAATGTTTGAAAGGCGAAATTTCAGATATAAGAATTTCCTCTCTTTTCAAAGCGCAATCCATTAAATGAAAATATAATTATGAGGGATATATATTTATTTCCCAATCCTTTTCTGCACGTGCAATACTCACTCTTCTGTCATTAGACTTGCATTGCAGAAAGGGGTGCCTCCCCCCTGAATGGCAGCGGAGTGGTTTCGGTCCCTCTGCTGATTTGAGGTTGAGCATCTGAAGTGGAGGGAAGGGGAGGGCAAGTGGGGAAGAAGAGGAGGGGGAAAAAAAAAAAGAAAAAAGGAAAAAAAACAACTTTAAAAAAAAAATTGTTGAAATACAATCTTCTTAATTGAAGTCTCCTGTGGGTCGTTAAGTTCGCTCTTTGTATCAAGCCTCACATGTTGTAAACAATCAAAGGAAGAATTAAAAATGCTGTGGGCTAATTTATCCTTCCATACCCAAATGAACGATAACCAGTCCAATTCCCCACTTGGTATGTAGCTGGAGCCTGTCCCAGAGGAAAAACGGGCAAATTACAGCCATCAAAAGAGTGGAAGTAATAGTCTCGGATCTGAACTATTTGTGCCGGTGCAGGGTGGGGTTGGAATAAGGAGGCTCATCCTCCGGGCTCGGCCAAGCCGTGCCGTCACACACCCCCACGGCCCGGCCCCATGGCTGACTCCCAGCCTGGATGGGAAGGACACCATCCATGCCCACCGTCCCAACCGGCACCCAGCAAACCTTCCCTTGGCCCCGCTGCTCCCCAGACCCCACAACGGGACCGGGACCGTCCCTCCCGGGGCCATTACCGTTGTTTCTGCGGCTTGGAGACCTCGGCGAGGCGGCGACACGCTTCCTCCAGCTGGGCCAGGGTGTTGGGCGGGGTGAGCGGGGGCATGGCGGGGTCCTGCACGAAGGGGTGGGCGGGCTGTGCCCCGCGCGGGTGGCTGCCGGTCCCCCACGGGTGGTGGCGGCCGGGGGCCCCCTTGGCGCAGTCGGAGCTGTAGGCCTTCTTTGTGCTTTGTGTGCTTGGGGAGGGGAAGAAGTCGGGTTAGAAAAGCTGGAAAATATGACTTTAATAGCAGCTCCTATTCTGCTCGCTCCCTCTCAAAAGTCTGTCATAACATGAAAGGAGGTTTATTGCCAAAAACATGACATTTTTGTGGTTTTTCTGGTTCTGCGGAACAGCTTTTATATTAAACCGGAGGAGCAAAGAGTCTCATTTGTTTTTAGCGATTGTAAAAATAGACAGCCCATGTAATATATAAATATTTACCGGGAGCGATATTGCTGTAGACAGCTGCGTATTTACCTATGGGGCTTGTGCTTATTTTGTCTCTCGCTCTCCAGCATCCACTGCCAGACGTTCTGCGCCCGGTCTGCTTCACCCCCGGGGAGCTGCACCCCAGCAGGGCCAGGCAGCCCCCCGTCCCCGGCCGGCGGGGCCACGCTCTCCACTCCTCGGCCCGGCCTCTTCAGCAGCGTCCCCGTCCTGCTGGTGGCAAAAAAGGGACACGAGCCCACCGTTAGCCCCTGTCCCCCATCAGTGACGGGTCGTGGTCTGGGGCAGGTGCAATGGGGGAGAGATGCCGGTGACTTACCCGAAGGGCTCCAGCGGAGGGAGAGGGGGGTCTGTGTTTTTGGGGTGGCCCTTGCACTTGGGGTAGCAGTAGTAGTCGCCGCCCGCCGGGCAGCAGCACTGCACCCGCTGCGCCGCCTCGGCCTCGATCTGCTCCTTCGTCTTGGGCACGGTGTGGTGGTGGATGTAGTGGTGGTGGACGTGCTTGGTGGTCTGCTTGGTGATGAAGCCCTTGCCCACCACGGCGCAGGCGGCCAGCGAGGCCGTGCCGGGCGGCAGCTTGCCCATGGGCAGGCGGTCGGGGGAGCGGGCGCGGGGGCTGTGCCGGCCCATGCCGGGCGACTGGCAGCCGGGGGTCTTCAGCACGCGGGAGAGGTGCTCGTCCAGGATGGCCTGGGGGTCCTCCTCGTAGCTGCCCGAGGGCAGGAGCGAGAGTGGATGCTGGGGGTGCTGGGGGTTCACCATCTCCCGACTGCTCTGCAGGCTGGCAGGGAGCTCAGAGCCCTCCTTCTCCTCATCCTGCCAGACAAGTGATGGCAGGGAATGAATGGAAGGGGACGAGGAGCCGGCGGGGCATGTGCCGGGATGTGCCCCCCACCAGCTCACGAACCACAGCGCGATCCCAACGCCCTCCTCCCAACCCCCTCCCACCCCCAGCCAGGTGGCACGTGGAGCTCTGCCCAGCCCCGGGAAGGCTAATCCTCCTACCTCCTTGATCTGCTGCAGCCTCTCCTCCAGACAGTCCATGGTTTCCTGCTCCTGCTTCAGCTTCTCCAGCCGGGAAATGAGCTCGGCGGCGAAGGCAGCTGGCTCCACCGGGGTCATCTCCTTGGGAAGACGGTGGGTCCTCTACAAGGAGCGGGGACAGAAGGCACAAGGCATGTTTAGCGGGCAGCGCGGGGCGCGGGCGCTTTGCCGCAGCGGCATCGCCGGCCCCGCTACGCTTGTTGTGTCTCCATGTTTGGATGAAAAGACGACCGCAACTAGGCATGGTCTGCTCTGGATTTTTATGAGCTAGTGCTGTGGCCTCATGGAGTGACATCCTCCCCACCAGCGTTTGCCTTCGGCAGGAGCAGTTGGTCGCACTCTGAGGAACCCCGCTTGTTCTCTCTGTAGTACAACCAGCCCATCAGTAGCTACTCTGAAGTAGAAAATCTTCAAAGACTGTTGTCAAACATCAAAAAAAAAAAAAAAAAAAAAAAACCTCTGAGGTGGGAGGGAGAGACTTTAACTAAAGGAATAAAGTGAGTATAAACAGAAAGGAGTTGGAAATTAAAAAAAATAAGATGGGGGAGAAAAAAAAAAAAAAAAGAAGTCAAACGGTTGCAGATCAGAGAAGTGCTGGTAATTTATTTCCTGGCTACACACTGGGCACCTTTGAGGTAGTGTTGTCTCAACAGTGTCCTAGATCTCTTCCCCCCCCCTCCATCTCTTTGTACAGAAAATGAAGAAAGCTGCTGCAGGCTAGCGGTGCTACACTGCTGAGCTTGGCTGCCTCAAGCAGATCTATCAAGGGAAAAAGGGAACATCTCCAAATCAAGTGCAGAATATAAAAAGGCAAAACGCGAATTTCTGCCAAAAGAAGCAAACATGGCAGGAAAAGGGGAGGGGGAAAAAAAAAAGAGGAAAAAGAAACCACCCACTCGACTCTGCCCTCCCTCCTGCCATCCCCAAGCACCCCAATCCTCGCCCCCACTCTCCCTCTTTTCCCCCTCCCAAAAGTAGAAAGCTGAACTGCCAACTCTTTCACATACTACCCACCAGATGAGGTGGGGCCTCTCTCCGGCAACCACTTAGCTCCAGAAATGATGTGAGGGTAGAAAAAGGCCACTCTGCTGGAAATTGTCACTCTTACACAAGCTGGCTCTATTCAGTCCCTGATCAAAGCACTGCCTTACAGAGAAAGTCGATTTGCACGCCCTGGGACAAAATAATCTAATTTACAAGCTCAGGCTATAGAACTTTCTTTAGGAAGGAAGGGGAAAAAAAATACCAAAAAGAAAAACCACATAAACCAACCCCCCCTCCAACAGAAATATCATCTATGACTTCTTGCTGCTTAAGACAGCAGAAAGAGGAATTTTAGCATATTAATCTGAAGACAAGATAAGTTTATACTTGTCTGTGTAAACAGTTTATTCACTGCAGGAATCGGGGAGTCTGCGAGGCAACTGAATTAGCAAGTCAGCGAGTTAATTTTCAAGAGCAGAGCAACACCACACATCAGATCCCCTCAAAGCCAGGCACGGATCTGCTGCCAATGTCTGTTTTGGGAGATCCTGCTCCCCACCAGCTCTTGGTGGCCACCATCAATGCACACGGGGCCAAGCCCTGCTCTGCTCAGCACCGCAGAGGTGTCGGGGTGATGGCCAGAGCCAAGGCCCTCACTAGACCCAACCAGGGCATCTCCACTTGGATTTAGACCAGAAGGACAAATTCAGAGCCTTAATTAGCACCTGGTTTCAGGGAAGGACCAGGATGTGACTGTCCACAAGCAGGTTTTTGGAATGATGCTGAGAGCACATGGCTCCTGCCCAACACTTTGCAGCATTTCTGCTCTGGCATCACCTTGGGATGGAAATGCTCCCCTCCCCTGCTCCCTTCCCTCCACATGTGCATGGTCCCAACCCCGGCATTTCCCACAACCCACCCAGAACCTGCAGCTCCTGCCTGAACTCACCGGAAAATGAGGTAGAGAAACTTGACCGTTGGCCTTGACGCTCCGATGCATTTCCCGCTGGAGCTGCTTCTTGCTCCCAATTCTGTACGGGGGGATCCCATCTCTGCACATGGAAGAGAGGCCACCATCAGCTAGGGCTGTCCCCATACTCTAACTGAGACACTTCTCCATCCCCCCTGGAACCACCCAGCCACGCTGCAGGCCCTCATTCCCAGAGGTGCTGAGCCCTCTGGATGTCACCTGAAGCCTCAAATATCTGGCAGTGTGGGAAGTGCCTGTGTCACCATTACATGGATGTGCAGTAATTAAGCAAAAGCTCAAAAGCTGAAGGCAACTCCGCATGGGAAGACACCCAAAGATCCCATCAGCTTCACTTCCAAGGTATCTTACAGGAAGGCCCTTCGAACGCCAGGCTTCTGCTTCTGACCTTTATTTTTGTTGCTTCTTCCCCACCAAATTACACTCTAGGACCACAATGTCCCTCAAGCTCTGAAACAGCCCATAGAGTGTTGGCACAGTGGAAACAAGAAGGAAGAGGATGGGGATGGATGGCCACCCAAAGGCTGCTCCCCATCTCTACCCCTACTTAAGATCCAGGATGTTTCTCCTGCCCTGAGGTTGGCCGGCACAGGACACCTCAAGGCATGAGCACGGACCCTCTGGCCAGGACACTGCTCCCTTCAGCCACCACTGCTCCCGGCCAGGAAACCACAAGGAGAGAGACCAGGCAAGGAGCTCCAGAGGAAACAGCCCCCTGCACACCCAGGTCCAGGCACCGTGGGGCATCTTCACCCGGCCACGCAAAAAATTACCCCAGTTAGGATTAAAGGGCCTTCCAGAGACAGCGGGGCCAGCCGGAAGAGCATGCCTGGAGATCCTGAATGTCTAATTCCACCCCTTCCCTCAGACCGGCTGAATAACCTTGATCTCCAGTCCCGGCCCTTTCATCCACCTGCCCCCACACCTGACTCATCTCCTGAGCACAGAAAATAGCTCCTGCCCGAGGAGGAGCTGCGGCAGCCCAGCAGACAGCGGCGGCCCCACGCTGCTGCCACAGGAGCCAACGTGGCACAGCGTCCCTGCGTGTCCCCTCCCGTGGCCACAGGGGTGGTGGGCACACGCCGACACACAGCCAGAGACAAGAAGTGTTCCCAGAGAACACCATGTCCCTTGTCTTGAGGAGGAGGATCAGATCACTCCAAGTTTGAGGCACGCTACGGGCAGAGCTTTGTGAAGATCTTGGCCAAAAAGCATCCAGTTGCCATAAAATTGTTTTTAATGAGCGGGATTAAGCTGCGAAGCCTGGAGTGAAGGATCAGAACAATTTCATTTTAATAGACTTGGAAAAACTTTTGTAAGAAAAAGGAGCATGCTGGGACCACAGAAGAGGCCCTTGATGCCACAAGATGAACATCAGCCTCCTCTGGACACGGTTTATGAGTGCATGTGACATGGCAAGTGAAAGGAGCTGACTGTCCTCATGTCCCCACTGCACAATGTGGGGCTCTGAGGCCTTTCTGGGGGAGCAGCCCAGCACACAAAGGCCAACACAGCCAGCCATGGCCACCAACCACAGCCTCTGACGGCCACCAAGGACCTCTCCACGCTCTCCATAAAGGCCACCGAGCATTTCTGCTCCACAAACCCACGGGGCACCAGTTATTGGGGCACATGACATGCCTTAGCTTTGGGGGAGGATGGGGGAAAAGCAATTCTAAGGTGAAAAGCAAACAACCTCTACCTCAGAGATGCCTTTGAGGCTTACCAAGACAAGGCTCTCTTAGGGAAGACCTTCAATATAGGGAATACCCAGGAAAACAAGTATTTTAAAAGTAAGTAAAAATGCCAGCATGAGCATGTCACATGCATATGAACAAATGGGATTAATCCCACTAACACACATGGAAGAGGAGGTGTCCTCTATCCGTGGCAGTCCAAGAGGCCAGTTGGGAGGAACAGGGAAGCAGCTGAAGGCCTGTGTGTCCACCACCACAGGGCACCCAAGGACATGACCAGGAATAACAGCCCTCCTGCACTGCCCACCTCCCTCCAGGTCTGCAAGGACAAGATGCTGTCCCCAACCCCTCTGCTGTGGCCACCAAGCTGGGAGCACATCTCCTTGTGGGGTATCCCCAAGCTGCCAGCTCCAGGAGGACATCTCTGCCCAAAGGGACAGTCCTGGGACAGACTATGGGGCAGGAACAGAGACTTGTGATATTCCCAGGCAGGGTGGCTTGTAAAGGAGGAGGAAAAGCAACACTGACCCAACAGTACAGCTCCTCTACTTGAGATTTACCCTCGTTCAGGTTGATACAAAAACTGCTCCTTCCCCCTGAAATTCCTCTGGTTGCACAGGAGAGCCCCACATCAAACCTCCTGCTCTCTGCTTCCACAGCCCTGCCTTGGCAGAAGAGTTCTGCAACTTGTAACAACGTGCAGAATTAAAAAAACCCAGAGGTATTTCTCTGGGATGGGAAGGCAGTGGAGCAGCTTGGGAAAGTCAGCCTGGGGAATGGGGAGGGACTTTAGCAGCCACTTTGTTTTCACAGAAAACGGGGAAAATGGGCAAGGCCAGTGTCAAAGGGATGACCAACGAGTGATCCCTGACTGCAGGAGGGTCAAATAAATGGAGCTGGAGCCAGGATCAGCTCAGCAGGAGATATGGGGGACAGGGGGAATCCTGATGCTGGAGCAGATCCCCCCAACCAGGAGAAAGTACCTCTGAAATTAAAGAGCTAAGCTTGGCCAGAGGGTTCAGAGCAGGACAAGGGTTAACTAACCCCAGCTCTCCAGGTGCCACCTCTCCCCCTGCTCCAACAGCCAACATTTGCACTCACTTCCTTGGCTACTAAAAGCTGTGGCTGAAGAGCTACAGAGTTGAGGCACTAAATAGTAGAGTTTAATTATAAACAGTTCAGCTAACCAGGCTGGGGCTAAGCCAATCTGTTTCTGGGGGAAACACTAGTTTGAAGTCTTCTACCCAGTCAGCTGCCATTTAAGCTGAGCCAATTATCTTAGCCTTTTGACTCAGATGTGCCTGACCTAACCTGAATGTAGTTTTACTGCTGCTTTGAAATATCAGACTCATGCGCATATGCATTCACTCCCATCTTCATTTGGCAACGGCTCTGAAACAAGCCTCTGATCTTGCCAACATCAAAAGCCTGGTTTGTAAGATAAGGTAATATTTGAAGTTTGCTCAGCAGCATTCCCCTGTGTCCAAAGTAAATCCATAAATAAGATATAAGCAAATAAAAAAAAAAAAATCCCCTTTCCTCCACCCCCCACCCCCCAAATCAAGAAATGGAAATATAAATTTGCATGATGCTTTGTGGCTATTACAAAATATATATAGGGACAGACTGATCCCTGGCATCTGGAATAAAATAAAAAATGCAGATTATGCATTATTTGGCGATTTCTCCCAATTCCAGTGCAGTTCAGATTTAGATTTATTAAAAAAAAAAAAAAACAAAAAAACCCCAACAGTTTATTGCCATGTCTGAAAGACTTTTCCAGAACAAGTTTTTCCTCTTCAGTTCATACCAATATAAGCCAAAAGAAGTAATTTGCATTCACACTGATGGAACAGAATAAACTCAGTTACAAGGGGGTAGCACCTGGGCTCACTCAGGGGGGGGGTTGTGCCCCCAACACACCCCCAGCATCTCCAGCATCCAGCAGAGCCGTGTGCCAGGAGAGCCTGTGAATTCCAACTGCTCCCCTGCAACCTTGGCATCAGCCCTTCTCCTCTGCAAAGGAAGTTTTACATCAGCCTTAACTTTAAGCCCAGCCTCCAAACCTGCCAGTTTACCTCTCCCACTTCCAAGAGAACCACCCAACACTCCCGGTGTGCTCCTGGCCGTGGCTCGGAGGGGGGGTGCCGGTTCTGCAGCAGGAAATATTCCTTTCTGCCACCTCCCCAGGCCTCCCGCCGCCCCCCAACCTGGAGCTGCGGGCAGTTTAATCAGCCAAGCTTCCCCAAACTCTCACAGCCTGCGCGGGCCATTGTTATGGCAGGAAAAAACAGGCAGCTCCTTTCAGGCGCTGCTTTATGGGGAGCTCCTATTCACTTGTTCAAGCAAATTTCAAAGCGGGCTGCTGCCCTCTCATCCCCGCTAAGCTCCCCTGGACTAACAATGGGCTGAAAGCGATTCAGTTAAGCCTTTCATCCACCATGCACTTTATTTCTCACTCAGTGCTCTCATCTGTATAAGGCCTACAATTGGCATTGCTGTGAAGAGAGGGTATAATCCTAGCCCTGTGAATCCCAAGTGACCCTACACTGGTCCAGAAATGACTAACCCAATGAATGCTCTGTTGACACATGATCACATACAACCAGAGCCAGTAAGAAGAAATAAAGAAGTCACCCTATGATTCAGCTCTTTTATTTAATGCCAATATTGTTCAATAGGGGAATCTGGTGGGACAACAAACTATTTTTTTTCTGTAATATCAGTTCAAAACACACATGTGCATTTAAGGAAAAAAAAAAGAAGCTTTTGTTTATGCATCAAGGATTTTTGGTAAATCCTGTTTTCCGTTGTGTATCATCACACATGTTGACTTTAAAAACCCAGCATGCAAGCCTCTCCAAGGAGTATACAGGGACTACTGGACATGTCTGACAGAGACATTGGAGATGTTTCAAGATTAAGACCAGGAATGCAGCACTCTGCTCACAGGTGGGCTTTTCTGGAGCACTAGTTTAAGTGAAGATCATGAAACACAAACAGCAACATCTGCCTTCTGCTCAGCTGAAGAAAATGGTCCTTAAAAGCACTAAGTGAGCCTCACTGTCTCCTTTACAGACACAAAAGCACCACTTCTCTCCCGCTGGGGAAAGCAAACTGACAGTCAAACCCCTTGCTCCCAGTTGCACACTTCTCAGCAACCAGGAGAAGCCAGATCCTGCAACTCCTGGGCTCAGCCACAGCATCATCTCTCCTCCCTGTGCTCCTGAAACACCCAGACCTGATCCATGCAGCTCCACTCAAACGGCTCTTTGAAGACTGCCCCAGCCACACTAAACGAGCAGCTATTTGCCCCTTCAGGTCACTGGCCCTATTAATGTACCTTCTGACATTAATGACAAACGTTAATTACAGAAAGTACTTCCTACAGGAAGTAATCTCCTTCTCTTTGATGACTGATAACTAGTTAAGGAAGCCTGGCCTTAAGACAAAGGCTCAGGCAGATGCACTCCTCGGGTTAGTCACCATCAGCGAGGGCAAAACATGTTTGCTCAGCTGCAGTTGCAAAATGGCAATAGAGGGATGCATTATTCCACTGCATCCGATACCTGCGGCGATGGGATGAGGAGAGAGGCTGCCGTGCCCTGCACACACCTCCAGGAGCAGCAGTGGGGTGATGACCCCAGACCCATCACTCCCCTAAGCCCCACAGTGCATCAGCACACCCCAAAAGGACCAGCAGCAGGTACTTACACGCTGCTGTCCGTCATCGACATGGAGTCGTCCGTCAGGGCATCACTGGAGATCTCGCTGTCGTTCGCGCTGGTCGCTGGGGCAAAGACATAGCCAGAGTTCACGTGGTATGGGTTAACAGGATCGTTCCTCTTGAAGGACCTAGGGACAAGCAGAACAGGAATTGAGCTACCAGCCAGTCTCAGGCTTCATGGAAGCACCCTCCTCATGGGAACCACGTTCACTGCCTGTTCAACCTCTTCAGAGTGAACCAACCATCCACTTCTTGGGGCAACAGCAACCAGGACACCCTCTGTCCAAACCAGGACACCCTCTGTCTAAACACACTCAAAGTCCAACTTTAAACATGTTGCTTTTAGCGTTTTCCAAAGTGCTCCAGAAAATCCCAGGAAGGACCTCTAAGTACTTTGATACCTTCTAAAACCTAAAGCTTGATGCCCTTAAAGCTTGGTGCTGCACTGCTGAGGTCAGCAGGATTTTTGCTGTTGGCATCAGCAGGGAAAAGACCAAGAAGTTCACAGCTCAAGTCCCACTGAAAGCTACGAGGAACCAGCTAATGATGCTTAAGTGTACTGTGAAGACAAGAATTAGGGTCCCTTTGGGAATGAAAAGTTACTGGTATCTGAGTTCCCTGAAACAGGAGAACTGCCTGGAATTCCTGGGGCAGGGCCCCCATGTGTCAGAGGCACGGACAGGGCTGAGATCTGCTGTCCCAAGCTTGACCTCCCAAAGCTGGGTACCACCTTCCTGGCATTATAAAAACACACAAAAAAAGGCCAGTTTTTAGGAGAACCTCCTACTTGTCCAACTTGTGTTTCTGTGCATAGGGTTGCACAGGGAAGAGGAGGATGGGGATGTGAGGACAGACCCAGCAGGTTGCATTAATGGGCACGTGGGTGATGGATACCAACACCTTTGGCTTCACCTGGAGAAGCAAACCCAAAGCCCAGCCTGGGTGTTTTGAGCTGAGCACCCAAGAGCAGACGGGTGACACAGGCTGTGATGGAGTGTGGCAGGGTCACCATGGCAGGGTCACTGCATGGGGTGGGACTTGGGCATCCCCCTGCCCAATGCCTCCCATCACTCCAACTTCCCAGCCAGGATCAATATACATATCTTGGCAGGTGATAAGGGGATTATGCAGGGAGGTTTGAAAACCACATGTTAAGGTGCACATTTTGTTCCTCTTCCAGGGCAGGATGGGGTTGTTAAGCTTCTGCCTTTGTATATCAAAGCAAAAGGCCTTGTCATCTGATAAGGACTGCTGATTTTAATAATTAGGGCCACTTGCCCAGGACTTGGGGGCCTAAGGAATGTGCCAGCAGGCTTGGCAGGTTTTTTTTTTAATGAGCTTTCCACCTCCCTGCCCCCCTGGGGCTGGAGGGACCAGCTGGGTTTAAGTGACAGCAATGTCCTCCCACCTCCCCACTCTCCATCTCCATCCCTCACCAGCACCCAGGCACACTGTGGTCCTAGCACCAAACACTGGAGCCTCCACAAAGGCTTAAGCTAAAAAAAAAAAAAAAAAAGGGGAAGGAAAGGAAAAAAATAAAAAAAAAGGGAAAAAGGAAAGGGAAGCACAGTGGGGAAGATGGGCCTCTGGTATGAGCGGCGAGGGGCTGGCTGCAGGCAGGTATTCAGCCCAGCCGGGGCTGCATTCCTTTCCAAGGAGGCCAAGGCATTTCTGATGGGGAGATCAAGATGTTAAAAAATATATATCTGGGAAGAAGAAAAAAAAAAAAAAAAGAGATAGTAAGGAATGCCACAGGAAAGAAGTTAAATCTTCAAAGATAAATTAATTCCACATGTGGGCGAAAGCGAAGTTATCCCACTACTACTACAAGAAAGCTCCTCTAAAAACCACGTAGGCTTCTACTCTGGTTCAGGGGGATGTGCAGGCCCAGCGACCCTTCCTAGGTCCTTGGTGGGCTTTTGGGTCAACATGTAAGGGATGCAGCTCTTCTGCTTTCTTGATTTGAAACCATCTCAGGTCTTGAGAGTGTATCTGAGGACCACAACGCTCAGGGGTGCAGGATGCTCCCCAGAACGGGACCATGGCCTTGCTGGAGGTGCCTGTCACCCCTGGTCTCTTCCAGGAGGGCTGGTTTGCCATGTTGTTCTTGCAGGACTGCTGGGGAGGCTGAGTGGGGGCAGAGGCAGCGGGTCCATATGGACCCGGCACAGGGAGAGGAGGTGTGCCCAAAGATAGAATTAGAGAAAGTGGCCAGAACCAACTCATCTTCCCCTCAGTACCGGGCTGCAGCATCACTCACCTACCAACACCTCATGGACAAAAAAAAAAACACAACCAAAACCAAAAAACAAACCCCTAAAGCTGACATATTTTTAAAGTCCTCCCCCCTCCCTCAACCAACACTGCTCCACAGAAGTCCCCCCCATCCTTCAAGAAAACCAGTGGGGGGTGTTTTGCTAAGTTTAAAATTTTTTTTTTTTTTTCCTTTTTAATTTGACCACCTTACTCCAGTAATTGCACCCAGATGCATCAAGTTGCCTGCGAGGGTTTTAAATTCCAGGGAAAGCGGTGGTCTCCTGCCACAGATGCTGCACACACAAACACAGCCCAGCTCCAAACTCAATATGCAAAGTGTTTTCAGCTGTCAGGTAGCAGTTGCTCTGGAGCTTCAAGGAGAATGTCTGATGTTTCTCAGCCTATTCTTATCTTGATGTGATGACACACAGCATGTAACTCTCTCTCTGCTATGTTAGGCAATGGCCATATCAGAGGTATTATAATGCCATGAAAATTTCAGGGGCTCCTGCTTGTAGCCCCTGTTATGAGGGTGCAATTTCAGAGAGGGGTTGTTTGTTTTTTTTCTTGTCAAACTCTGCTTCTTAGAAATGAAAGCACTCAGGCAGGTCAACCCACAGACTTATACAGAGAGAGAGAAAATGTTCAAGGAGCAGTTGGAGGCAAAATTGAATCTCATTAAGTGTTTTCTTGGGACAAACATCACTGGGCAACCATGGGTTTAAAAACATTAAAATAAAAAAAGGAAAAAAACCACACATGCACAAACCTGAAAAAAAAAAAAGTATATTTTAACACAACTATGTTAATCACAGCTTCCATGCTCTAATTGTAGAACACTGCTTGGAGCATAGCTTTACAATGGCATCATTTAGTTTGATAATTGAAGCCAAACTTGGTTCCAATAACTTCACACACAAGGAGCTGCACCGGCGGGTCCTTTCAAAGGCCAGGAAGCACTGGGAGCCGGCAGAAGGCCATCTGCAAGCCCCAGCCTTCCCCAAGCAAGGCCAGTGCCACTGATGTTAGAGCCCTAATGGGAGGCAGATGAGTCCACCTTGGACTGAACAAAACCACGTTACCCAGCGGCACTGCAAAGGAAGAGGAGCCCTCTGTGTACACAAAGTCGTGCGTGATAAATTTAGAAGCGCGTATAAATAATAGCTGGAATTCCTGGAGCATGGGGCCAGGTCCAGCACAGCGTGGGGAGGCCAGTTTTAACCACACCACAGCCCAGAGGGAAGGGGAGTCGCCTGAAAGGACAAGAGGGAGGTTCTGCATTTAAAATCTTCCCCGTATTAGGGCGCCAAATATACAACCAGCAGTTTGCATTCGCCTGCTCCCCACCCAGGTGCAAACGCTGTGTTTTCACATCTCCTGTTCCTGTCCATCACTGGTGCTGGGGCCAAACAAAGTCTTTCAACTGGTCCGGTTTCTGCGCCCTCCTGTTTGCCATGGGTTTGGCCGTGACTCCATGCCCTGGGATTCCCAGGTGGTCTCCCATCCAAACACTGGGCTGGCCTGAGATCACTCTGCTCCCACCATCAGGTGGGCTCAGCCCAGCGCTCCCGGCTTTCGCTGGGATAATCACATTGAAACCCACCGAAGCGAATGGCCAGAGCCTGCACGGCCCTTCAAAACCAGAGCACACTGAGCAGAAATTCCTTAATTCCATCACACACATGAGGAGGGAGGTGTGGTTTGGCCACTCACCAGGAAAGACTTTGTGCAAGCTTCAGCTCCAATCCTAGACGCGATCCTAAATGCTGAGTGATGAGAGATAACCCATCCATATGCTCATCAGCTTGGAGCACATGCACGCACAAGTGGCTTCACAAACGGATCGCTCGGGGAGGAACTGAGCAGCATCTCAGCTTGACCTCCCTCTCTTTGCATTGAGATCTCTTGGCCCCATGGAGAGCAAAAGCTCCTGGAAATTCAACAGAAGGTGATCAAAGCAAAACGCACTACCTAATGTCCTAGGAGGGTAGATCTGACATGTGAGGAGCAAGCTGCATTAATCCCTGGACAAAAAAAAGAAAAGAAAGAGGGAAGAAAAAAAAAAAGGAAAAAAGCCCAGCACTAATCAGGCAAGCAGCCACGGCGCTGCAAGAGCTCTCCTGGACAAGGCACATGTGGGTTTAGCAGGGCCTGCAGCTCTAGTAGAACATACAGCCAAGCCCTTCCAGCTCTGAATCCCAACAAAGGCTCAGAGATAAAAGCATCAAACATCCCCCTCCTGGAAAGCCAGCGAAGGGCAGCAGTTCAAACCAAGTTCTGGAGAACAGCAGATGCTCAGGCAGCAACACTCAGGCACGAGATGAGGATCCCAAACCCTAAGTCCTCCACAGACCAGCTGCCAGCATTGCCCCCCCGCACACCCCCCAGCAGGAGGGGTCCAGAGGCCGTGCCGGGATGCAGCGCATCCCTTCTGTCAGTCCCCCGCGCCCAGCACCTCCACCCCCTCTGCTACCAGGAGAGCCTCCAGGGCAGGGAGAGGACCAAAGAGGCCTCTGGCTCCACAGCACCCTCCCGGGCAACGGGAGCCTCCCAGTGCCCCACGGCTCAGCACCAGGAAACCCGGCACAGCTGGAAGCTCTCCAGGGGCAGGAGAGGAGGGCGCGCTCCAGCAAAGCCTCCCCGGGAGAAGCCTGATGCCCTTTGATGTCCATGAATCACAGACACACTCTCAAAATTCCTGTAAACGAGATGTCAAACACTCACCATACCAACCCCCAGGCTCCCGGGCCGGCGGAGGAGAGCGCACATCTGCAGCAGAGCCCTCTCCTCTCAGCCCTGATTCAACAATCCACATTTATGGCAAGGGTGGGGAGAGGAAAGAATACATTTTCAGAGGATTATACAACTCATCATTTGCTCATCAGAGTCTCTCTTCCCCATCCCCCCCTTCACTTCGAGATGGCTCTCACTTTCCTCACCCTCGCACTGCTGTGCCACCAACATTTCCAACAGAAGAGAAGGGTCTGGCAATGCAGACGAACCCCGGGACCAGGGCACAAGGACACCCTGTCACCACACAACGTCCCTGCGTCCTCATCAGCTCCCACTTGACACAAACACCTCTTAACGAGCTTAACTGAGCTCACTGCCAACAAGAGAGCATCAAAGACCTACCTATTACTCTACACCTGGAATGCCTCTACTACCTTAAACACTCCAATTTTAAGCATCCTCCTGCACGCGTTGGCTCAGAGCCACCCTAGATGGCTTTGACACGACACCAACACCCAACACGATGGAGAGGCTGCACATCACACACACACACACAAGAGTCAAAATAAAAGCTGATTCTGCCCAAGTTGCAGAGTCTGATGCAGTGACTGCACACATTTCCTCCTCCACGACCGCACAATTGCTTCCCACATAACCAACATCGTTAAACACCGGTTGATGGTGGAGTTGGGGAACTAGTAGGTTACATTATTCATGTGTCTCTATGATCCACTCTACTACTGCTCTTAATAGGTTTGAAAGTTGAACCAATAATTACCGTATGTCCGGAGGACATAGCTGCTATGAAGTTTTTGATCTATAAGAGAACTGAAAGAGCCAATAGGGCTTCAGAGCACAGAATCTTGTTTTCCTCTGCAGAGGAGGAAAAAAAACCCCCACAGTCAGCCAACACCCCCCAAATTCCAGTGTTTGGAGGTATGGAGAAGCACCGTGCTCCCAGCCCCCCTCGATTCCCACCCCAACAGCCTTCTGAAAACCACTCTCAAAGTCTTTCAAGTTAAAACAAAGCACAATTTCCAGGGGGGTCCCTTACCTGTATCCATTCTCGATCGTTTCCGTAGCTCTGACATTCGCTGTAACCCTCAACGTCTTGCTGGATAGTCCGACTACTGAAGGCAAGATCTTGTTTTTAAAGTCTGCACAGCTCCATTCCTCTTCTTCATTCAAGGTCGGGAGATAGCCACAGACAACTTTTAAGCTCCCCAGTCCGTTGCTGTTCATGTAAGCGGGATTCTCTCCTCCACTCCGTACGTATTCGAGGTATATATCAGAAGTTAAAAACATCTGGTAAGCATTTTCCTCCATCACAGTCTGAATCTCAGTCTGTGCCTGATCAAACATGATGGAATCTATCTGCTGCTTCTTGATGCTGTCCCTTATGTAGGTCTTGGTAGCAGGTTTGAGCTGCTTGGAGACGATGCTGTTGTTCTCGATGTACCTTTTGTAAATAGCTTTGGCTACTCGCAAAGTTTTGGTATCCTTAAGGTCCATCTGCCTGAAGCCATTGCAGGCAAACCAGAAGTCTAAGGTATCCACACATTTTTCCCTTTCCAGAAAGGTCCGAAAAAGATAGGCACCATCTTGATCTCCCAACAAGGAATGCAAGGATTTGGTCCATCTGGCCAGAGGGGAGTCTGGGGACGCGCTGCCCTCCGGCTCCCCGAGTCCGTTCTCATTCCTCCGCGGGGCAGGAGGCACCGGCATGGCCTTGAAGCTTTGGCTTTTTGGGAGAAACGAGCTGGCGAGTTGCGGGCATGGTGCTTCTCCTTCCTCCCCCGGGACAGGGGGTCGGGGGGCGTCTTCCCTGAAGCTGCTGCTGTGGTCTGGGAGGTGGGCGAGGACCACGGCGCTGCTCATGGCTCCGGAGCTCGGCGGGGAGAGGGGCTCCCAGTTGCTCCAGGAGTTGCCTGTGCCTCTGCCTGCCTCTGCCTGGAGTCAGCAGGGGATCCTCGGAGCCTCCTCTCTGCAAAGAGGGGAAAAAAAAAAAAAAGGGGGGTTGGGGGGGGAAAAAAAAAGGAGTATTGATCTAATCAAAACCAGATCCTCCCAACATCAAAGACAAAAAGTAAACAGGCTTTTCAACTCCTCACAGTCAAAAAAAAAAAAAAAAGAGGAAGAAAGAAAAGGGAGAGAGGGAGGGAGGGAGGGCAGAGGGAGCGCGGCTCTATCGCCAGCCCGATCGCGACTATCAGATCCGCTCCGCTGAACTCCCGGCGCACTTTTAGCGGGGCCGGGGCTGGGGGGGTGGGAGTGGGGGGTGTCAGCGCGGCCCCCCCGCAGCTCGGGGCGTCTCTGCCCCGGCATCTGGTTTCCATTTGCCCCCCCCGCCCCATCCCCGCTCCCTCCTCGCCCTCTCCGCTGCCGGGGGCGCCCGGACCCGCGTGTGTCCCGTGTCCCCCCCCGCCCCCGACGGGGCGCACCCGCCGGGACAAGGGATTTTTTTGGGGTGCTGCTCTGCGGGAAACGTGCTGGAGCACCGTTTTTTGGGGTGCTGCTCTGCGGGAAACGTGCTGGAGCACCGTCCCCCCCCCCCCCCAAAAAAAAAAAAAATCCACCCCCAGGGGGTGGGTTAAGGCGAGGAGGCCGTACCTGGGCGCTGCGGGGCATCCCGGGCCGGGGCCCCGCGCCCCCCGCATCCCCCCCCCCCGCAGCCGGGAGACATCACCCCCGGCTCTGGAAAAGGGGGAATAAAACAGGAAGGGGAGGTTAAGGGGGAGGCAGCCCCCAGCCTCGGGCTTTCCCTGCGTGCAAAATAATAATAATAATAATAAAATAATAATAATAATAATAATAAAAACCTGCTCCAGAAATGGCGACGGGCTGGGAGGAGGGAGGTCGGAGCCGGGAGCTGGGGTGGTGGGGGGGAGAGGAAAGAAGGGGGAGAAAAAAGTCCGGAGCGACTTGGGAGCCTCCGAGCTCCGCGAGCAACAGCCGAGCCCGGGCGGGCACGGGCACCGCGGGAGCAACCCCCTTTCCCCCCACCAAAAAAAAAAAAAAAAAATTTAAATTAAAAAAAAAAATATTAAAATTACAAGAAAAATCCGTATTTGAAGGAGAAGAAGCGGCCGCCGCCCCCCGAAGTTGCCACTCACCGCCGAGCCCGAGCTCGCTGCGCGCCCGCAGCCCCGCCGCTCCCCGGCAGCGCGCAGGCTGCACCCGCTCCCCCCGCTGGCCTTCCTCCTCCTCCTCCTCCTCGCCTTCCTCCTCCTCCTCCTCTCCTCCCCGGCGGTGCAACCGCATCGGAGAGCATCGGGAAAGGGAAGGGAAGGGGGGGGTGGTAAAGGGGTGGGGGGGGCTGCGAGGGAAAGGAGCCCACTGCGCTGCGCGCCTCCCTCCCCTGGTTATTTATTTTATTTATTTTAAATACAAAAGCGCAGGCCCCGCCCCCCCCCTCCTCCTCCTCCTCCCTCCGCCCCCCGCCCCGGGCTCCCCCCGCGGCATCAAAGCGCAGCCCGGCCGAGCGGTCCTGCAAGGGCGGTAGCGCACTGGGGGGAAAAAAAAAAAAATAAAAAATTTTAAAAAAATTTTAAAAAAGGTGTAAAAACAGGCCCGAAACAATTTTAAAAATTAAAAGAGAAACAGGGAGAAGCGCGGGAGGAGCACCTCCTGCCCCTCACGCTGCTCCATCCCCCGGGGTACCACCGGTGCGGGGGATGCTTCATCCCGCGCGGGGGTGTGAGGGGGGTGCGCGGATATCACCGCTGGCGAGGGGAATAAAATTATTGTGTTATATTTTTTAGAGGACAGGATTTGTTTTTTATTTTTTTTGCGCCCTTCCCCTCGGCATCCCGCGGCGGCTACGGAGTTGCCAGGACCTTATCAAAGGGATGCGATCGCAGCCGCCGCTCCGCCGCCTTAAAGGCGCAGGAGCCCATTTTTCTGCGCCGCCCCGCGCATCTCCCGCGCATCCCCCGCGCCCCTCTGTACCTCCCCCGTCCCCGTCCCCTTCCCCACCCCACCCCCGCGCTGCAGGGCGGGGGCTACTCCCCGCCATTAAAAACTTTGCGAAAAGTTTTCATCTCGGAAAAAAAAAAAAAAAAAAACCAAACCAAAACGAACAACCAACAAAAAACAAACGGGGCGGGTGCCCGTATTATTATTATTATTAATATATATATATAAATAATCCTCAGGCCTGTTTTTGCTCTGCAGGCTAATTAAACAATCCCTGATTGCAATAGAACTGGCACACCAAGCCAAACCCCGGCCCGCAGTTGTGTTCCCATCTCCTGCCCCAGCTGTTAAATATTAACCAGGCACGGAATGGAGGGTTTGGAACTTCAGACAAAAGGTTTTAATTAGGGGTTGGCCCCCAAACCTGCCCTCCAGATCCAAGGAGCCTCCCGCCCTCCTCCTCCTCCTCCTCCTCCCCAGCCTGCTCCAAGGCTGGACCCCAGGGTTTGGTGGTTCCCCCCCAGGAGCTGCCTGGCTGGTCTAAGCCCACCTTGGTCTGGCCAGCAGAGCTGGTGGAATCAACCTGGCTTGATTTTTATCATTATTATAGAATCACAGGATGGTTTGGGTTGGAAGGAACCTTAAAGATCATCTAGTCCAACTCTTGTCCATAGGCAGAGACACCTTCCACTAGACCAGGCTGCTCCAAGCCCTGCCAAACCTGGCCTTGGACAATTCCAGGGATGGAGTAGCCACAGCCTCTCTGGGCAGCTTGTGCCAGGGCCTCACCACCCGCACAGTCAACAATTTCTTCCCAATATCCCACCTAACCCTGCCATCAGGCAGTGAGAAGCCATTCCCCCTTGTCCCGTCACTCCAAGCAGGACAGGTGGCAATGCCTTTGGCAAAAGAAATGGCACCTGCCATTTTTGGTGTGCATGAACACAGGTGATGGCACCCCCTGGGAAATGCAACAGCAAAGTGCAGCCCATGGCTGGACCAGCCCTTCTCCCCATGCCCACACTGCTCTGTCCCCACACTTCCAGCACAGACTCCAGAGCTGCCCACTCCAGCCAGCAAAACACCCACAGCCCCAGGAATCAGAGCCAAGGGGACCTGCTCCCACCACCATAGCTGGTCCCATCAGCCTCACCCCTCTCCTTCCTGCTCTGCACCCTCCACATCCCCACAGCAAACTGGAATCCCAAGGGAAGGATGAGGCACACGGAACCGCAGTGGGCACACCAGGGAAGCCCCAGTGCTGGTCCCAGGGGCTTAACCTGATCCTAAATGTGAGGACAGAAACCAGCATCACAGCCATAGACCTGTGCCTCTCCCACCCTTCTCTGGATGGGCTGTTGGAAAAGCAAGTGGTTTGCACCATCACTAAACACAGTTCTTGGCTTCTCCCCACACTCCAAAGCTCCTGTTCCTCCTCCTCCGGGCCCTGCTGATGATGCCAAATATGGATGTGCCACTATGCCAGATAATACATATGAAATGGTCCCTTCCTGGGAGGATGAACAGCCTGTGTCTCCTGGGCTCCTTGGGATGGTGACAGCAGTGTCACCTCCAGCCCAGGACCTCCAACCATCAGAAGGTGACTTGACCACCTCTTACTCCTTACAATTAGCTTTGAAACAATGTTGGATAAAAACCTCTCTGGGTCCCATTTACTGCTACAGCTCAGAAAATTAGGGCATTATAATGGAGGCTGAAAACCTCAGCCTTGTCCCCTTCGGAAGAAAATCTCATTAAGTCTCATTCATTCTGTTTCATAAAAATGTCATTTAACCGCCTGGTTTTCTCCAAATCCCGTTGTGCAATAACACTGCCCTGCTCCAGTGCCTTGGGACAGCAACTCAGCCAGCGACTTAATTTCCCAAATTATTGGGGATTGCACGTGCAGAGGAGCGGCCCACCCAAAGACCTGCCTAACCCACCACCCTCTCTAGGCCAGCCACCAAAAAAGAGACGCTTTGGGAATAAAACAAGAGGAGGGCGAACCCCTGAGGCCGTGGCTTTGTGGGCAAGTGCCCATGGAGCAGCCTGTCCTCCCCAAAGCAGCGGTGGCCCCGTTCACGTTCCGCATGTCCAGTCAGGGAGTCTATTTTCTCCTCCTGCCAACAGGGAAGAGTCACGTAGTGCCTGGGATTTGAAAGTAATCCAATGAACTAGGCAGGCGGTGGCAGGTACAAGAAGGTCTTCCAGAGTTTTCTTCATCTTTATCAGTTTCTGGAAGTCCTTGTTCGCAGATCTACAGGGAATCTCTGTGTTCAGGTAGCAGCTGCAGTCATCAAGAAAGCAGAGTATCTTTGAATTTCCTTCTGATTTTCCAGTCTAAACTTGAATCTGAATTCCCAGGCTGAACAGAAGGAAAATTAACTATTTATAATTTATTTGTTAGCCCTTCCACAGTTGAGATAAAAATTCCGTAAATGGGGGAGAAAATGACTGCAAAAAGCTGCCCAGAGCAGCGTCCTCAGCCGTGCTGAGCCCTCCTGGTGCCCTGCAAAGACCAGACACAGCCTGTCCCCTCCTCTTTAGCTGCTGCTGTGTGTCATGTTCACAGGCAGCAAAGAAGCTTGAAGTCAGATTGTGGCACCAAAAAGGAATAATTTTAGATGAAAAGAATCAGTTCACAGCAAAGCCGCACAATAAAGAGAAATTAATTTTTTTTTTTCCTGAGAGCTTTTTTAGATCAGGTAGTAAAAAAAGAAAAAAGAAAGTAGGAAAGAAAAAAGCAGTGGGGGCCATTAAGGCCTGGAGTGCTCTGAGAGCACTGAGTGCCAGTCCTCACTCCCTGGGCTCTGTCTCATCCTGACTGCACCCAGCTAACCTGGCTCCATCTCCTCCTTCTCTGCCCACGGGGCAGATATTTTGCTGGTGTCTTGCTCCAAAAGAGATGTCTCTCCAGGCTGTTGTCTTCCTGCAGAACAGCAGGTCAGACACCAGGAATGTGAAGGCTCTGAGGGCTGTTCTGTTCATCCCTATAAATGGCTTTGTGGAGGTGACAGCAGACAAGGAGCTCAATCAAACCAAACAGCCTCCCCAAATCATAGCAATGCCTTTTCATGAGCCACCAGTCCTAAACCAGAGCTCAAAGTCAGTGTCCTTCAGTGTGCACAGGGGGACACTGAGGACCAGGGAAGCACTTTCCTTATGGAGAACCCCAAGACAGCCAAGAGATGCCTCCCACACCCCAAGCAGCCTCTGCCATCAGACCAGAACACACTGCTGCTGTTCCTGACACTGGTTGTACCAATGTTCCTCAAAAGTGCTTCCTCTGCTAAAACCACCCTAAGATCATAAAATAATAGAATAGTTTGGGTGGGAAGGAACCTTAAAGCTCATCTAGTTCCACCCCCCTGCCATGGGCAGGGACACCTTCCACTAGAACCAGGTTGCTACAAACCCCGTCCAACCTGGCCTTGGACACTTCCAGATCACAAGGACACTGATGGAAAATATGGAGAAAAGATAAAACAAGCATGCTGAGCTCCATCCTGTCCAAGCACACCTCTCACCAATCCCCACTGGAGGTCAAATCCCCCCCACATCCCCTCCCTGCTCCTCACTCCACCCCTTTGCCTCCCCTTCCCTGGCCAAGCGGGAGGAGGGCGAACAGCGCCGCCCACTCTTCCCACTTTGGCAAAATGCAACAGCCAGCCACGCTGGGCTGGGGTTTTGGGGTCTAAATGATCTTCCCAGCAGGAAAACTCCTCTGTGATCCCGCACAGGGCCCAGGGAGGACCCACAGAGGGTAGGATCTAAACCCCAGAGCAGCGTTAGTCAGCCTGACGTCACCCCTCTGTCACCGCACTGGTGGTCATGTTGATAACGAGATCAAAGGCTTGCGAGTATTTCAACAGAAGTGCTGGGAACAGTCTTGATCAAAATAAGAGGAAGGCCCTGTATACAGAAGACATGAGAGGTTTGCAACCCACATGTGAACCTTTGAAGTTATTCTCCCTCTTTTTTTTTTTTTTTAAATAAACTAGTTTAACATCATTAGTTTAAGAGGTATAAACTCGACTGGCTGTGTAATCTCTCAGTATACTGCAGGCACAGGGTATTATCCACACACAGACACGCTTTTCCAAGTGGGGAAAAAAAGCACTGCCAGAGATACTCACAAATAAGACAAGAAAACACACAATTAGTTTTATGGGATTTGAAGTTCATTTCATAAACCGACATACTTTTGTTACCGAGTATCGCCAGATAAGTCTGATACATTTTCTCTCCTATAATCCTTTTAACATTTCCATTCCCCCCTACAGACTCTTCGCCTTGATGTTTTGTTCAGTGCACTCCCTGCTATCTGCACACGCTTGGCCAGAATTTTTTAGACTTAAAAGGGGCACCGTATCAGCATTAACCGTTCCAGGAGAGCTGATAAAACACACACGAGCACTTTGCTATCTATTAACATTTCTGAACTCCTTCC